TTAGGAAATCCACATGTAAATTCTCTGGAGTTTTTGAAGCATTTAGTTATATACTATTTGGGAGTCTTTTGGTTGTCATGTGTACTAACTGGGATACTTAAAAATGGTAAAGATGTCATGCTATGCTGTTCTTCCTTTGCATGCTTCCAGATGCTGCTTGAATGCATATTATCAGTTTCTGATTTATTGTTTCATAGGCTGAAGAATAAAAGAATGAATAAGAGTACTAAAGCAATTTCCACACACTATTAAAATAATCTAGGAAATGGCAGGCTTAAAGATGCAATCCACTATATACTGTTTTAATGGAAACCAATTAGAATTTCTGGTCTGCTGGGTTCTACATTTGTATAGCTTCCTCAGATTCCTCAGGACAATTCCCTTAAGACATACTTTGGCTATTTACTGCTCAGATTTGGGAGGGGTAGGGTAGCAAAAGCAGGGTCTGGTAGCATATGCTAATTTCTTTTACTGATGTATGCAAACCAACTAAAGAAGATCAATTTGTTAAGTTGAGAGTGCAACTTTGAGTTTTACAGGTTTTAATTAAGATCAAGGATTTTCCTCTCATCTATCAGATTGTGTGAATGACTAGAATGAAATGGGCTGGTTTGGGTGTACTTCCTTAGCATGAATTCATTACGAGCTCATAGACTGAAAGGCAGTGTTATTTCTCTGTAGTCCTAAATGGATTAATGGGGTACTCTATAGAAAGTGGGAATCAATTAAATTTCTCTACAGATGGAAACTAGACTTAGGGTTGATACAGCATGTGAGCTCAGTGGCATGCATTCATGATAATGATGTCAGACTGTAAGCAATTTGCCAAACACATTCAATGGAAATGTAAGAAACTCAAAAAGCTCGCCAGTCCAGTCCTGTAAATAGAGAGATAAGTCAAGATAGATAAAGTTCTATGGCCATAGGAAGGTTTGCCCAGTAGTGGGGAGGAGTATCTTTAAACCATAGGTTCTACATGAAATACATACTCTTTCTTCCCTCTGGCCCCCTCCCTACCTCCTCTGTAAAAGCTAATTGCAAATATTTGCATAAAATTACAGAAGTTGTTACAACGTAGGCTATAGGGAAAATCGGAAGGCGCAACAGAAGAAAAGTTCTATGTCCCTTTGCCCATCTCATTTCATACAGTATGGCAGGGTGTACTGTACGAAGTGAAAATACTTGAATAATAGCCAACATATATTGAGTGATTTTCAAGTGCCCCGTGCTATTTAATTGATTTATATAAAATGGTTTATTTAAACGTTGCCACAAATCAGTAAATGAGGTGTCATTGCAGGTTGAGTGAGGAAACGGAAGCACATTAAGTAACAGGTCAGATCACATAGTAAGTGAGGAAGCCAGGAATCAGCCCCAAGCAGCTGGCTCTAGTTTATGTGTATAACCCCGGTGCCGTACAGTGCTGCCTACACTTTGATCATTCAGGTAACACATCCTCTAGATGAGCTGAAATAAGTTATACTTTTTTGTTGGAAATACCTTGGCAGTCAAGTGTCAGACTCATGGAGAGATAGGAGTGTAAGAAGACTTGATGTGATTTCTTGAGTATAAGAGAAAGATTATCTCTAGTTACATAACTTCATAGTGGTTAAGTCGCTTGTACCTTTTTCATTTAAGTGGCTTAGTTAGCACAATTTGTATTAAGTTAAATTATCCTGATGCTATCTCATTATTTTTACTATTAAGCATGTTGGCATGGTGAGACTGTACAACTTAAATTTTATAATATCCTTGCCCTTAAGAAACTTCTAGTCTAGTAGAGAGGTGATTTCAAAGGACTCTAGGATCCCAGAGAAAAATAAATGGGGGCACAGAAGGGTAAAAATACTGGTCTGAAGCTACATGGCTAGTTAGTTTGAGTGCCTGGGCCAGAACCCAGTTTATACATAATATACTATAAACACAAAATATATTTTTTAGAAGTCATCTGCATTTCAAGTACAAAGATGCTACTTTTTCAGTATCTTAGGTTGAAAGAATTGAAATGATGAGTTTCAAAACTCATCATCACCATCTGAACTTGTGGAGGTCCTAGAAATTTTGTATTTGCTGGTTTGCTTTATATTGATAGTTCCAGTAAGAAGACTGCTGTCCACCTATCTAGTTTCTAGAAGAGTTCTTCATGCTAGATTCTGGCTGGGTTTTTAGGAAACTGTACCATTGGAGTTGTTACTAGAAATTTGTCTGCAACACTGAATAATAACTGTGCGAACCTATTGGAGAACAGTAAACAAAGATGGGTGCTATCAACTGCTTGACTTCCTGATGCAGATAGACTGGTAGGGACATTATATATAAAGGAAACTGACTTCATGTAGACTTGGTTATTATGGGATTTTCAGACATTCTTAAACTTCTGCTTAGGTAGATGCTGATGTACAAGTAGATTCTGATTCCTTTATAGAAAGGCCATTCCATGGTCAAGTCCAGTGTTAGTGAAACATAATTAAGTGATTGTGTTTTTGCTGTTGATGGGGAACTCATTTTAAAAAATGTTGGCAAGCTAAAGCAACATAGTTGCTTTACACAAAAGAAAAATGATTGTTTACAATTCACTTTTAAAAGTATCGCATCTGTCCAAACTCAACAATGCTAATGTTTATCACCAGAAAAATACAATTAACCAAAGTCATTGGAGTTATTTTTAAATGGAGTCATTTCTTTATTTGAATTAAGATAAAATTCATGCCTGCTGTTGAGTTACAGTAATTAAATTCCACATTTATCTGTGGCCATTAAAATGTTCACTTTCTAGCATGGACTCATACTTACTAAATAGTTTCAGAGTCGAAGAAGAAGACCATAAAAAAAAATACTGACAAATTCATGTCTTTTATATTATCTATTCTCAGACCTTAAATGATTAAATATATAAATATTCTCTCCTTGTTTCCTGATATTAATTTCATCTTTGGTCAAAAACTGTTGTGAAGATTTATGGTATGTGATAAAGTGTTTGATAGACTTATAAATTTTATTTTCTTTATTTTTATTATTGATGCCTTGGAAGCCAGTTGAATTACATATTTACATCTTTGGAATTAGAATTTTATAATCTAGATTTAATTAATGCATGGATGCTAGTGCTTAATTGGCAGTTTGAATCATTAGAATTTTCTGAATACTCCTAAGGGGAGCTCTGCAATTAAAGCTTTATATATCTTATTAATTAGCTACTTTACAATAGATATCACCCAGGGAACTGTGTATTCCTGTAAAGCATTGTAGAGTTTGCTTGTTATGAAACAGGATTACAGGCTCTTTCCATTGTCTATGTTTCTCTTCCTCTATTGCCCCTGTATCTGAGTATAAACAGATTCAATAGCTATCTGATAGCACTGTTAAATTCAATACCAAAGAACACAGGGCTTCAGTTACAGCAAGTTATGCTAAGCAAGTGATGTGAATTTGGAGCTTTGGGCATATAATAGTTTTGTAAGTTTCTACACATTACTTGCATAAGGTATACTTTCTACAAAATGATTTGTATAGCATTTGCTTTCAGTCAAAGCTAAGGCATTACCAAATAGGTGGCATTGATATTTTATTTACAAGATCTTACCATTGTGAATGTCCCAAACATGCCTTCCTGTCTTCTGGTGGAAATTTCATGCTACCAAAGCAAAAAAAGGATTCCAAGATAGTTGCCATTTCAAACATGTTTCCAGCCTTGCCAAGAGAAATCTGCTACAATGGGTTGACCAAGAGGGAATCGAGGATTGTCACATGATTGAAGCTTGCCTTCCAAATTGGCAAAGGCACTGTATATAGCCCACTGCCCTTGAAGTGCTATGCCTTGAAGGGTCCTTGAATTTAGACAAAAAGCAATTCATTGTAACTAGCTGGTGCACTGATAAGAGAAATGTCAGCAAATTCCTTCAACCACTCAGGAGTTGGGGTCAGGGTTGAGGGCAAGAGAACAAATACGTAGGAAATGCACAAAGCTTCTCAAGAAGAATTTTATAATAAATGAGTATATCTTTAGACTTCCAAGAATAATGATAATCTTTTGTGAACCACCATTTAAGAATGAAATACAGAGATGGAATACCCCCTGATAAATTCCATCAAGCCAACAATGTTATAAATACCTTAAGGTCCTTATCTTCCATAACAGCCTGAGTAATGCTATCATTCAAAGCCCCTCATAAAATCTAAAGGTATCAATATAGTGTTCAAGCAGAATACATTTTGAGTATTCTTAAAACTACCTTATAAATAATTTCATAAAAATAATCACACATTCATGCTGGATTTCCAATTCTGCATAGTTGTGACTTTTATTCCCATTGTAATTGTGTTGCTCTTTTAGGAAAGTGCCTCCAGCATGGGAAAGAAACAATATGTTAAATTATTGCGAAGTCTCCTTTCCTACATCAGTTCCATTTCATTTGAAATTTCATTTTCTGGGAGTGATTCCAACGTGGAAGGTTCTCTTAGCAACTTAAAGTGGTCATGTTTGTCTTTTCATTGTTATTCGTACCATTTTTCCCATGTGGTCTTTGAATTTTTAATTTAGTTTGGTTATACTTTGAATAGAATATTTGCCCATCACATTCAAGGGCTTCACCATAAAGCCAGAGACAGAGAATATGTACTTGCCTAGAAAATAAATCACAGTGTTTGAAGAAAAAAAGTACGATATCTATCAGAATTTAAACTCAGTGAATCCTGTGACTCACAACTTGTATCTCTGTGCAGAGAAATATGCACAAGCATATTGTTGCCAATTGATGTCACATAGCAAAAATATTTGTTGTCTACACTTGTAAAATGTAGGAGCATTTTTAAAGTTATATAAGGTTGCACCCCAGATTCTTAACAGTATTTTCTTCTGCAGGGGAGATAGGAGAACCAAGATTTGGGACATTGAGTTTGTTAAAAATACTCTATTTTTTAAAAAGAAGGTTTTAATATATTTCTTATAACATTAAAAGTTAATTTTAACATAATGTCTTAAATGATTTTTTTTTTACAAGATGTACCAAAATTCCCAAAAGAAAAAATTGACCCTCTTGAAGTGGAGGAGGGAGATCCAATCGTCCTCCCATGCAACCCTCCCAGAGGCCTTCCACCACTACACATTTATTGGATGAATATTGGTAAGTAACATTCTGTACCATCCATAGGATTTTAATTTCATGCATCATGTCAAATAACATAGGGAAACAAAGATTAAAAAATAATCTAAGATTATCAACATGGGGGAAAAAAAGGAAAAAACATTATCATTATGGAATGAAATAGATTTTCAAAAAATTATATCCATCTATATAGTGTGTTCCAAGTTTTAACTATTCTATTAAGGATATATGTGAAAACACTAGAAAGCCCCTAAATATTTCTCTTGGTTTTATCATATCTGAGAGAGTAGAAGCTATTGATATGGTAAAGTATGTCTATGAAGAAAATACTTTCTGTATTCCAAACAACTTACTTACCTTTGGAATATTATCCATGTTAAAGTTGAGGATGCTTGGGTCTGTGTTGCTAGTGTTAGATTTCTATTTTAATAATGTTCTACCACTATAGACAGTGACCCACAGAGAAATTAGTCTTAACCTTTGTGTTGTTTTTTTTTTTTAAAGATTTTATTTATTTATTTGAGAGAGAGAGAATGAGAGAGAGAGAGCACGAGAGGGGGGAGGGTCAGAGGGAGAAGCAGACTCCCTGCTGAGCAGGGAGCCCCATGTGGGACTCGATCCTGGGACTCCAGGATCATGACCTGAGCCGAAGGCAGTTGCTCAACCAACTGAGCCACCCAGGCACCCAACCTTTGTGTTTAATTTGCCAAAAAAAAATTGTATTAACACTCGACTTGAAATTACAGCTTCTTGTAAAATCCTTCTGGCATGTGCCTTCACAATGTGCCCTAAATGTTTTCTCATTGTGGTCCCGAGAGAAAAATGACAATATTTATATAGTCCTCAGAAGAAAGTGAGAGAAACTATTCTTGGCTGCAGCCAAACATTCCAGACTCCAATCACCCTGGAACATTCCAGACTGCATCCAGGAAAGACAGATTAATATCTCTCTCAGACACAACTTTTGGGGAGATCTGTTTGATTGGACCAATTGAACCAGTTTTCAGATAAGCCAGTACAGAAGTAGAGGCTTAGATGGAAAAGAGGTGGAATCTACAGACTGGTTGTCCACCAAGGGGCTTCTTTGGTTAATGGTCGAAAGCATGCTCCCAGAGGGTTGTTTTTTGTTTGTTTGTTTGTTTTTTTACTTCTCACTTATTGTTCTTTTTGTAAGACGAGACTTACAAGGAATAGGGAGAACAAGCATGAAAAGAAAACAAAATGAAATAATAGGAAAGAAAGGAAAATGAAGAAGGGGGATGAGGCACTATAAAGGACAGTTGCCCCTATTAATGACAAGGTGTTTCTTTCCAGAATTAGAACACATTGAACAAGATGAAAGAGTATACATGAGTCAAAAGGGAGATCTGTACTTTGCAAATGTGGAAGAAAAAGACAGCCGGAATGATTACTGTTGCTTTGCCGCATTCCCGAGATTGAGGACTATTGTGCAGAAAATGCCAATGAAACTAACAGTTAACAGTTGTAAGTCCAAATAATTTATCGTTCCATCGTGAATGCTGAATACAAATGTGCCTGTAATTTCATTCTGGCTGAAGCCAGTTAAAGCTGGGTTGATATTTTCCGCCATTGTTTAGCTCAACTCTGGAGACTTCATCCAGATGAAAGAGACATCTGCAGCTGCAGACCTACAGTAGCTCTGTCTCTCAGAGCCAGAAAATCAAATCTCAATTCACAGTACAAGTATATTTCATTTGACATCTGCAGGATCTGGTCCTTTGCAGTGGGTGAAATACACAGCAATATTCCAGGGTTTCTGAAGCAAGTCTCAGGCTTTGATGCATTGTGATCTTGAGTAACCAGCAGGCTGCAAATGTGAGAGAAAACCAGAGTCAAAAATAAAAAGAATGAATATTATAATTTTTATCACATCAAGCTTTGTTGTCCTTCCCAAATTGGCAAAGTTATGTGGGTTGCTTCTCTTCCCTACTTGATTCTGCAGATGCCAGTCTGGGTTCCCAAATGGGAAAAAGTCATTAGTGGGAGAAAGAACCAAAAAATAATCCCTGACAGTTCACTGACTGAATATTTGGCTCTGGTAGAGTCGCAAGTTGGCATTACCATTCCATTGTCTGATTTGGTTCATGGTTTTTTCCATCTTCTGTGTAGATACAGTATGCCAGGCCTTCACTATAGCATACCTTTTGGCAGCCCCAATTCTCTTCAACGGAGCTGTAATTTGTGTCCACTCGACCTGGATTCAGCTGTGGTAGTTTAAGATTAAACTCATTATAATATTTTTTTTCCAATATATCCCCAAAGATGATGTTCTAGTGAAGCATGGTTGTATCTCATTTTGTAATCTTTCTAAGAGAAGACTATGACTTTTCATTCATTATTGATATCAGCATCTACCATTATGTTTGTGAGTTTTTTCTTTCATTTTTTTTTATTTCAGTAAGGCATGCTAATGACTCAAGTTCATCCACAGAAATTGGTTCCAAGGGTAAGTCGATCACATGAAGAATGTTGGCATTTATTTTTACCTTTTGTAGCTCATTGTCATCTCAGAATTTAAATTTTTCCTTTAATATCTTCATGAGTATATTAAAATACTAATATTTTTATAAAGGAAAACGCCTGAGCATAGAGGTTTCTATTACCCCCTCCTTCCTTAAATATGTGTGAAGGAGTGATATTTATAAATTCATCACTTTGTAAAAGTATATATGTAATACAATTCATATAGACAAAAACACATACACTCACACACATATATATATGCATATTTTTTAATGGAGTAATTATTTTGCGTCTCCTAAAATGTCTGCCATGGTTGAGTGACATTTTGGTTGGTAGCTGTTACATGCGTAAAGGAAAAAGAAATGGTTGAGTATCAACAGAAGTAGAGAGACACTAGATTTAAGAAAGTTAAATGGTTATTTTTCTAGTAAGACTTCTCAGAATACTTAACATGGGACTGTCTATTGTAACTCTGAGAAAGAATACAGTCTGCAACATTTTGCAGACTCATTTGTCTGTGAAATATTTCATTTTTACCCCCCACAGAACATCTAATAGAGCTAGTGTTTTTTGGAAGATGTCTGAGTAAATCTGAATTCTATAGTAAGCTAGTTTTTTTTTTTAAAGATTTTATTTATTTATTTATTTGAGAGAGAGAATGTGAGAGAGAGAGAGAGAGCATGAGATGGGGGAGGGTCAGAGGGAGAAGCAGACTCCCTGCCGAGCAGGGAGCCCGATGCGGGACTCGATCCCGGGACTCCAGGATCATGACCTGAGCCGAAGGCAGTCGCTTAACCAACTGAGCCACCCAGGCGCCTCTATAGTAAGCTAGTTTTCCACAACGAGAAGAATCCTTTACTTGAATGCAACACAGGTTCTTTATACCATTGGAACCAGTGTCTTAGCCTAGATATCTGATACACTGGCAACATCACAAGGGCTGGATGAGGGCTCTTTTTGGTGCACCCTCAGTTTGACAGTGGACTGATTAGCATACATCCCCACCTTCATGATCATTGAGGTCAATAACCCAGTCATGTATATTGTATCTTTATAGCACTCAGTGAAAAATAATTGCATGAAATGTGTGTTCAACAATTATTTTTCCATAAATACTTGCAAGGAACTGTCGCACGTAAACATTGGTACCAGTGCCCTTCATTTCTCTACTCTGAATGTCAGCTGTTGATACTTCCCACGTCATGTCAAATCACAGTGACATTGGATGGGAAAAAAAAAAACAATTTCTATAAACATTTGGAAATGCTGTTAAAATTTACATTGAAAATGGAAGTCCTCATTTGCCATTGTATTTGAAAAGTACTCTTGAGAAGTAACAAATGGAACGGTTCCATATGTATTTAGTGAGAGTGCTTGCTAATCCTTCCCTACAACCGTGTTTCTCTTTGAGGGGCTGAGACTGTAAACAGAGTCATCTTAAAGAGCTTGATAGGGCGCCTGGGTGGCTCAGTTGGTTAAGCGACTGCCTTCGGCTCAGGTCATGATCCTGGAGTCCCTGGATCGAGTCCCGCATCGGGCTCCCTGCTCGGCAGGGAGTCTGCTTCTCCCTCTGACTCTCCCCCCTCTCATGTGCTCTCTCTCTCAGTCTCTCCCTCTCAAATAAATAAATAAAATCTTAAAAAAAAAAAAAAAAAGAGGTTGATAACTTCATAGATGCATGGGGTCCACCACAGACTTCCTGAATCAGAATTTCTAGGAGCAAGGCCTAGGGAGCTGTATTATAACAAGAATCTTATCAAATACTTAGGTACATTAAATTAAATAAAAATATTTTTATTTTTACACAGCCATCAAACATGCCCAGGTATGATTAAAGTGTAGGATATAAAATCATAGACTATCAGTTAACTCCTAAGGTCTTTCATCAAGAAACTAATTATCTTGAACTTCTGGAATTTGAAGATGTGGTTTCAATCACAACCTTCTTAAAACTTGGTACTCCGCTAAGTTAATGCGTCTGAAGGACAATCCATGCTTTATGGTAAGAATGGAGTCTATTTAAATGGTGATATATTAAAAATGTGTCTATGTATATATATACATAGGTACATATAGGTATATATGTTTAAGGATGTTTTAAGAAAGATTTAGTGCCATGGGATTTTAACACTCTTAGTCTGGAAAAAATTTGTGACTTTTTGTATTATAGCAAATTTGATCAAGCAAAGGAAACCCAGACTGCTGTTGCCTCCTACTGAACGGGGCAGTGAGTCTTCAGTTACTATCCTCAAAGGGGACACCCTGCTGCTGGAGTGTTTTGCGGAAGGCCTGTGAGTAACTTGACCTCTGTTTATCACTTTGTCCATCCATTTCTGTAGAGAATAATGCTTCAGTTAAGCAGTTAATCCTAGACACACATTTTTAAATTATTTCTTCAAAAAAAACTCTGTTACTACCTTTCTGGAGGAAGTAATTTGCACTTCACTCTACAGGTTTCAGGCTGTTACTGAGATTGATTTATAATTAGATTGTTCTGTCAGTTTGTGATAGTGTGAATGGAGGTGACAATGACAACGTTCTCCTTACCTAAGTCAGTGGGGAGATGCCATCCTTAGAGCTCGAGGTTCTTAGCTGTCAGCCTCTTACTGTTGCTGCTGGGTTTTTGTCTCTCTGCTATTCCATTTTGTCCTATTCCTTCTCGTTATGCAATGAGCTCTGATTCCTTTGCAGGTTCCAAGGAGCCTGATGTATCTATTATTTCACCCTGTTGACCTTTGCATACAAGGAGGTCCAGACCATGTAATTTTAGAGAGCTTCACCTGATAATATAATTAACTCAAATTTTCATATCTGAAAAATCAGTGCACATTTCCAAATCCTCCAAAAAATGCCTTAAGGAAATTTCACTTGGTCATCTCTTAAAATCGTTCCATTTGTTGAGTAAGTATCCTGAGTCTATGCAAATAGGGACCATCTTATTTAATTCTGAGTCATGGAAGTTTGCCTTTTTCCTGCCACCATCCCTCTATGCTTACCACCACACGTCCATTGCTACCATTGGGAATACCATGGGAAAATACATCCCACCATCCCAATACCCTGAGTTTACATAATTAGCTTGTAAGCTCAGGCCTTCTTTTGGCTGGGCACCTGGTTAGTGAAGTAGAATTTGAAATTTTAAAAATTGTAGTCATTCATAGTTCAGTATATATTCTGAATGGGTAGTTTTAAATTGGTTTTTGAAGAAAAAGAGTCAATTTTAAAGGTTTTGCAACCCCTAAGTTTTGCAAATGTCTCTTCCATCCAGCAGAGACATGCAGGTTGCCGGGCACCTGGGTAGCTCAGTCGGTTAAGTGTCTGACTCAAGGTTTCGGCTCAGGTCATGATCTCAGGGTCATGAGATTGAGCCCCCAGTGGGGCTCCATGCTCAGCAGGGAGTTGGCTTGGGATTCTCGCTCTCTCCCTCTCCCTCTGCCCCTCCCCCCCCCACGTGCACTCTCTCTCAAATAATAAATAAATAAATCTTTTGAAAAAGAGAGATCTACAACTTATGTGTTTGAGATTGCCATAGTGTATTTGATGTAACTAGTTAGATGTGCCTTGTGACATGACCTCTGTTCCAAAAGTTTGGTCTCTGTATTATGTGAGAAGGTGAAAGCCTCGGGTTCAGTTTGAATCATGATGGTAACCACCTGCTCTGTTGTTCTTATTCATAGATGTTTACAGTGGTAGCAGCTCAGTTCTTTCAGGATTCATCACTATTCTTGGTTGACTCTTTGGGCAGGGTGAACATTTCAGGAATTCTTTTTTCTTATTTCCCACAAATGCCATAATTTACCTCTTGAGTTGGCTGGGAACTGCACGGATTTTCAAAATAACTCAAATGCTCTCATGTGCTTTTTGGAAAATGCAATGTCATTAAGCAATATATAGAAAGAAAATGGACATAAATATCTGTGTCCTTGGGACGGGATGATTCCTGATGGATTGTCAAAGAGTTTTCACCTACACTGGCTTCCTCCTACTCATGTTGGGTTTGTGTTGGATAATCTATCTTGCCTTGTCCTCTTTCAGATTTTGTATTGTAAAATTTTTAGAGTCCTTTAAAAATTGTTTTCTGAGAAGTTTTTAAACCATGAATGTTCTGTAGAAACAAATCATTATAACTTGGACATTGTACTCTTTATTATGTGTCAGGCACTCTATTTTACACTTTACACGCATTAGCTCATTTTATCCTTGCCACATTTCAGGGCTATCATTATTCCCGTTTGCAGGTTAGGTAAATGAAGCCCAGAGGCTGGAATTCACTTCTTCAAGCTCAGTGAAAAGTGGAGCTGGAACCCCATCCTTTCTGCCTCCAGACCCTTAACTACCTCTACATTTAACGTATTTCCGTATATTTCAACCAAATGAACTGTTCTCTTCAGCTACGGGGACGGGGTGGGGTGGGGAAACCAAGCATGGCATTGTTTCTGAATCGGAAGAAGTGGCCTGTAGTAGATATTTCTGTAAATGGTTAGTCATAATGAAAATGTTGATACCATTAATTAAAACAGGAAAAACTAAACAGGGTTTCAAGTCTACAGATTCTGTGAAGAAGGCAGAAATTTTGAATAGTAAAAATGACACTGTGAATCTCCTTCAGAAGAAGAGGCAGTGAGTGGAAAGTACACATTCATGTGCCAGTTCACACTCACTCACACCCTGGAAAAGCTGCTTTAGGATTAGAGGGGGATATTGTTGCTTCCCTCTGTTGATCATTGGGCTCACACTGTTTCTTCTCTCTTGCCTCTCTGTTTTGTAAATTCATAAGCTAGGTGTGATTGTGTTGCAAGATGCTACATTCTAAAAATGTAGGAACTATAAGGAAGTATACAAACAAAAATTGGCTGGACAAGGACCTGAACAAAAATTTAAGATTATGAGATAGTGCATGTTTGTATAGTAAAAGGGATAAAGGATTAAGCAGTATATTTTCATTCAAAATTTCATTGCTCAAATACTGTTAGTATTTACTAACAGTACCTTAAATTTAAAAAAAAAAGAGAAGAAAAAAAATTGAGAAGAATATAACTGGACATCCTTGGAATGGGATAGATATGTCCCTAGATAAATGAGGTCTCATGTTCACCTGATACTTATAGGTAATCTTTTTATTCTCTTCTTTTAAGGGATAGGTATAGAGGATTAGACTAGTTTTTGAGGACTAGCAAAAAAAAAAGTCCTGCAGAAAGTGAGATGCTTGCACTATTAAAACCTGGACTCATGGAAAAACTGCTTTGGAGGAACCGAGGTCCAGAGCAGCCTGTAATTTGGCAAACTGCCATTTTAACAGATGGCTTGGAAAGCAAGCAGTTAAGAGACTTGAGTTCGGCATCCTGTTAGGTGGTGTGCTCAGGAAGCCGGCAGCTAATACCCTCTCACAGCTGCCTGTCTGAGCATCACTGCTGTTCCCCACAGAAGTATGCCCCGTGCTCTCAGCCTGGGCAGATATAAAGTAGTGGTTCCAGCTCTGTACGGCTTGTAAGCACTTGAGCCTTGAATGGAGGAGGGGAAGAGAGTAAATGTGCATAAATTAAAGGACCTACATCTTTACCTCCAATATATATTTTTGCATAATAATGGAATTATTTTAACTGATCAATACAGTCTTAGATAATTGACAGAGACTATATGAGATAATTGTTCAGTTATCAACTAGTAGCTAATTAATTTGGCTACAAGCACACATTCCAAGAATATACAGTTAGGAAGTAAAAGGGGATGGAAAAAGCACAAATATAATAGAACACAGTGGTAGAAAGGACAAGTTTAGTGTTGGACAGACTTAAGTTCTAACATGTCATTTATTATTACCCCAGTAACTTTAAGCAAATTAATTAACTTCTTGGAGCTTCAGAATCCTCACTGGTAAAGTGATGATAATTAATGCCCATCTTTAGAACATATCAATATCTTGTAGCTATTAATAATAAAAATAGAGTGAGGAAGGAAAAGCAGCATCATTAAAAATAGCAAAATAGGGGCACCTGGGTGGCTCAGTTGGTTAAACGTCTGCCTTTGGCTCAGGTCATGATCCCAGAGTCCTGGAATCAAGTCCAGCATCTGGCTCCTTGCTCAGTGGGGAGCCTGCTTCTGCCCCTCCCTCAGCCTGCCATTCCCTAACCCCCTTGTGCTCTCTCTCTCCCTTTCAAATAAATAAATAAAATCTTTTTTAAAAAATAGCAAAATAAAGTTTATTCCATTCATGTAGCCCAACTGGAGAGGAGAAATAAAATATTATCAGTTAAAATCAGCCATCAATGCTTTCCACATAATTCTTTTTATTTATTTATTTATTTATATATTTTTTCCACATAATTTTTTGAAAAGATTTTATTTATTTTAGAGAGAGAGAAAGAGCGACAGTGCAAGTGGTGGGAGGGGTAGAGAGAGAGAGAGAATCTCAAGCAGACTCCCTGCGGACAGGGGACTCCATCCCACAACCCTGAGATCATGACCTGAGCTGAAACCAAGAGTCAGCTGCTTAACCGACTCAGCCACCCAGACACCCCTCCACATAGTTTTTAAATCACAAGAGTCATAGATGGCACCCATCCTCCACTCGTCTAGTTTTTGTGAGCTGGGATTTTTCTTAAACCCAGCTGGCTTGATTCTCCACTCCTGTTTCCCACCCTAAGGTGGAGAAAGTTATCCTCTTGATATGTGACAAGTTATCAGTTTGGTTTTAGTTTTGTTTTGTTTTTACTTTTTTTTTGTTTGTTTTGATTGGGTGATCTCATCTTTTCAAGAAGGGGGATGTGGTTCATTCCCCCTTCCCTCTGTGTTCCCTAACAGAGGGAGAAAGCCATGTGTGCTTACTCTTGGGTCCTACTTTATCTTGTTTTTCAAACTCTTACAGGGAATGGGGCAGTTATTATTAGCCACTTCAAATCACTTGCAAGGAGATTTCACACTTGAAATATATCTTGTAAATATTGAAAGTTTGAAAAATATCTTATGGTATTTCTGCGGGTCCAATTATCCACCTTTTTATCTAGCCACACCTATTCAGCTATTATAAGTAGTCACCCCTCTTAATAGAAGAAACTTGATTTCCGTAGAAGCAGACTATTCAAGGAGCTTTCAGTAAAGGAGATCTGATCCAATCTGACATTCACCATCGAAGGTGGTGTGCAGGTCTGTGCACAGAGAAGGCTAATTTTTATTTACTGGAGCTCTGAGTGCGTACATAAAAGCATCATGTTAAGGGATGTAACCTGGGAGGCTCTTTCAATTTAATTGTGCACTTTAAAAAATGTTTATCACTCATTTATTGTGTTGCAGACCAACTCCACAGGTTGATTGGAACAAAATAGGTGGCGACTTACCAAAAGGAAGAGAAACAAGAGAAAATTATGGCAAGACTTTGAAGATAGAGAATGTCTCCTACGGGGACAGAGGGAATTATCGTTGCACAGCCAACAATTTCTTAGGATCAACCACTCATGATTTTCATGTTATAGTAGAAGGTATATTCCCCATGTTGATTTATTTTTCTTCTATTAAAAAAGAAAAGGTGAATTGCTATATGTAGTGGACCTACACTTCTAAAGCATATATGTTAAAACAGGTAAGCCGTTTAAACTTTTAATTTGAGAGTGGGTACTGGATTCTATTATACTCCAATTAACCAGATTTGTCATTTACCCCACGATACCTTATAAAAGGGACAAATGGTAAGAAAAGATCTCATGTTAGGGATTAAACACAGATAACTTCCACATAATTTTTATTATAATAAACATACGATGCTGCATAATATTAAATCATAGAAGAAGTAAGCATTACAAAGGAAGGATTTATTATGATGAGTATCATGATGAGCTTGTTTCCCAGGCCTATGGTTAACTTGCTATGTCCTTGATCAATTTGCTTCACCTTTCTGTACATCAGTTTCTTCCTCAAAGAAATGAGGGTATCAGACAAATTATCTTAGTTCTTTCCTAGATACATTATTTTTCTGTCCATATCTTGGGTTCACATGACATTTAATATGTTACTTATGAGGAAAGGGTAGACTGGATGCTAGAAATATTAATTTTCTATCAGATGATGCAAAATACACATTATATTCAAGTCATCTCTGTAAACCCAAGCCTTTTAATCAATAGAGGCTTAGCTATTGTTTCTTATATTCACAGAAATAAGTGGGCCATGATGTCATCATTTTTAAAAAAATCTACATATCACACCATGTAGATATTGGAGCTGTGTCTACCCTGCAAGTAAAGGTTATCTAGGCATCTTGGGAATCTGATTGATGCAGACTGTTTTCTGTGGGTCTGATTACATTGAGGTCTCCTATCTATAGTTTGGTTGACTGTATTGATCAAATTAATGGATTGATTACTGCATCTGTACTTATTTAGTACTGTGTAGGCTTAACTACTGAAAGAATTATCTCTTTCAGGATCCTATTTAGTGAACCAATGCTCTAGGGTTTCCATTTGTATTCCAATAAAGTTTACCGCTTAAGCCTTCAGTTTGTGCAGGGAACACCTAAGTAAAAGGCTGACTGTTTTAATTAATGGGGGAAAAAAAATGAAGACTCAGACACACATTCCACTTACAAGTAAATGTTAGGATAATTGTTTTAGTCGTCTGCTGTTTGGAATGACACTGCGTTTCCAAGACCTAGCCCACAGTGTATATGATTAAGTTAGGAAGAGCGGAAAGCCAAAGATGAGAATATCATTTTCCTTGATTCAAAAAAAGCAAAACCTATATAGGAGAAATATTACTCATATTACCAATATTACGCATAAATATCATTAGCTGCCAGCAGTGATATATTCCTCTGATTTTAAATTAGTCACAAAGAAATTCAGAGAGGAAGAGTTTGAGAGGTTTGTATATATATTTTTAGTCATCATTTGATGCTCCCATATAATTCAGCTACACCATGCTACAGGGATATTTTCCTGTAACCCTTTACCCCTGCCCAGAGCAAACACATACCCACAAACCAGACATGTCTAATTGTTAACTGCTCCTCCTCCAAGTTGCTGACTATTAGAAATCCCTCCAGATGGCTGGAACATTGCTACGGTAGCTGAATATTTTAACAATCTGGCCACGGTTTTCTTGACTGTAAGACTGAAGCTTTCAAAAGCATTGCAAGGGTTGCAAAAAAAAAAAAAGAAAAGAAAAAGGATGTAAACTTAATTACGCAATTTAAAATGTTGACTATAGGACTCCAAAGGAATCTAGGTTTCCTGAACGAATTGTCCTCACTATTCATAAAACAGCTATTAGCACTATTGAGATGTAAATTATGTTTTTATTAGGAACAGTTAATCTTTTCTCCTTAATGAGAAGCTACTAAATGTGCCCTCAGTTGTATGTTTTAGTAGTTTCTCTTCACACATGCAAGTGAAAGGCAAACTGGGCTCAAGAAGTCGGTTTTTCTTTTTTTTAAATGTGAAAGCAGTAAATATAAGCCTCATTAATCATAAGCACGATGAGCTTATTCTATTCAATTGTCTTCTGCTTTCCTGCACTTTCTTTCCCTTTTTTGTCTCTTGTTTAGAAACTCAAATGAAATAACAAGGATTACCATAGGATCACAGAACAATGCTACTGTGAACTTTGAAAATCGAGTCCATTCTGAAAACACCCATTTGTGCTTAAATAAAAGCATGTGTTATATTGTATTCTCTGTCTATGTGATGTTTCTTCTTTATTACTAAACACAAATTCTGTAATTGAAGTTGCAACATCCTAAATATGAAAACCATATGCATTTTCAAATTCTGTCATACATGTAAGCAAAAACATCCTTGTCTTGACAAGGCACAGGTATCCTTTCTAGGTATCTATGATATAAATATTTTACATTCAATAAGGAGAGATGTTAAAATGGCATCTAAGATACTCTAAATCCGGGAATCAGAATATGACCACAATCACATTTTAACTAATTATTTAAAAATAAACTCCCACCAACAGCATTCATGTAGTAAACTTTGGAATCATTTAAGACTTTTGAATTTTAGTGTAAAAGGAAAGTATTTATATGTAATTATATACTCATAATTGTCTTAAAAAGATATCATGAACTCAAATGCAATTCATTGATATACTTAAGAAAGCCTCATTTTCAAATAATCTGTTATTTCTAAAGAGTTACAAGTAAATCCAAGTTTGATGAACCTAACAATTTTGATTTAATAGAATATAGATATTTAGTAGGAATCTGTTACTAAGAAAATAGCTTCCTTGTTGTTTTATAGGTACCAAATTTCCTATTTTATTTCATTTCATTTTCCTTCCAGTGATAAATGTCTCTAATTAACTTGCTTATTATATTCTAAATGTTCAGTCATTTGCATCTCAGTTTTTAACAGCATACAGAAATTATCATCTTTTTTTATTTACAATTTGACAAATTGAGTAAAGTTTCAACGTAAGTAGTTTTCATCAGTTACCATGTATCTTAGGATAATAGGTAAAAACATGAGATTCAGTGATGATGTTGTCTCTCAGAATTTTCCATTTTAGCCTTTTTTTTTCCTCCCCCTTTTTCTTGAGCTTTTTTTCATCCTTTCCACTACATCTTACCCTTCAGAAATAGAGTTACATGTTCTAAGCTTTGGAAAACATCTGTTTGTTCTCTGTTCCTGCATGTCCTTAGCCTAACTTCACTCACCAAAAATAACCTGACCCATGGCCAGTGTCCTCAGGCTCACTATGCGTTCTTTTGTGAACAAAGTAGCACCTAGCTAAATATGTTCAACCAAGACATGAAATTATGAGATTGAGAAGTCAGTGATTCCCTCCTATCTAAGGGTCCTTCTTTCCTCCCAATGCCTTTCTCACTGGGGTCTTTAGGGATCAGTCATTTCAGTTTAACTCATAATTACTCCATATATGTCAGTTCTCATTGTGCTAAGCAGAGGAGACACAAGAAAGACTAAGATTCCACCCTGGCTCTTTATTTATTTGAGAAGCATAAAAACAAATGTCCAAGCATTTATAAAAAAAAAAAAAAAAAAAAGCTTATCCAAAAGGGGGATGATACCTAGTGAATATACGAAATCTTGCTATCAACCTCCAGTGGATAGATGTTGGAGGAGCTTGGATTTGGAAGCACAAGGGAAAGTTGGTAAAGCCATATGGCCTTGGTTTCTATCAGTGGTCCAAATTAATAAAATAGTAATTAACTAGGAATAACATCACATTTACATTGGAGTCTCAATGCTGCTCAGTTTATAGGTCTGCAGATCCATGGAGTGGCAAGAACACAGAATGGGGCTTCTTTTCTTGGTGACACTGAGCAAGTTAGAGAGCATCTCCAAGGCTCAGCCCTTGGTCTGCGAGGAGAGTTGGAGAGGGTGATAACATCAGCTTAATGCAGACACCTAGAGGTTAATGAAATTTGTAGGATGAGAACAGAAATAAAATCCTGATTTTATTATGCATGTATATTTAAAGAAATGTCATCATTACATGATCTCCTTTATTTTATTATTTGGCAGATTATTATTATTATTTTATCATTGCCAGATAACATTAATTTCAGGTGTACAACACAATGGTTCGATATTTGTATATATTATAAAATGATCACCAGATTAAGTCTAGTTAACATTCATGGCTACATAATGACAACAATTTTTTTTTTCTTGTGATGAGAACTTTTAAGATCTCCTCTCTTAGCAACTTTCAAATATGCAATACAGTATGATTGACTACAGTCAACACGCTGTACATTACATCCCTATGATTTATGTTTCTACATTTAGTTTTTGCTCTGAAAGCAATAGTTTGCTTGTTGTAAACATGGAAATTTGCATGTTCATGGAACTTTTTTCTCTAACTCGAATGTTTTATTTTATTGTGGTTGTGTGAAAAGACAAAAGGAACAATAACATCAAAAATGTGCATAGGCACGCACATACACACCCATTTCAGAGGGTCATAAGCAGTTTATAATTTGGACGATTGCATTTTAACCTAAATGACTAAATATTTACAGATTATGAATACACATTTTGAATTTAAGATTCAGTAACTAAGCCCACACCCTATGGAATAATTACTAGGGCATGTCTCGTGCTCGGACTTGAATTTGCCAGGGTTATTTGTATATTTTTGTTTTTCTTGGTGAATTTATAGGCATTTTCTTTTCACATAATCCCTTTGTTTCCCCTTTACTTAAAAAAAAGCAGTTTAAGTGACATTTTTTTCATTTTACACATATATGTACCTTTAAAAGAGTTTTCTTTTTGACAAAAATGGAAATCCAAAAATGTCTTGGGGGAAATAACCAAGCTACACTTGATGGGAATTACTCCCTGCAGGTATTGTGCAATTTTCTCTGGAATCAAATTATCCAAACCACCCACACTTTAATCTAAATCTTTTATTCACTCCTGACATAGTAATATACTTAAGGTGACAAGGTATGGCAGTAATATTTGCACTAAAGACAAATGTCTCATTCTGTCCTGAAACACCACTTAGAATTACACTGTTGGAGCATTAGGGCATGAGAAGATGCAAGTAATTTAAATACATCTTTTCCTCCATTGTTTTGAGGACAGTAAGCTAAGTGTTGGTTTTAGGCTTCCTTCTGCCTGCCTTACAAAAAATAATCTCTAGAAAAATAATGTTTCCCAAATTTTTAAGATAGATAAGTAGATATAGATATGGATATAGATGCTACAGTCATTAAGAAATATTTAAAATAAATGCTGAACATTTTAATTTCATTAAAAAATTCTCAAAATATGTTTATCGAGTATCAGCCTTTTTAGATGCCTTGCTGCAGCTTGAAAATAAGCTGTAGCCAGCACTAAATAAACTTAACCATCTGCTTATCCCTCCATTTTCCGTTAATGAGATAGGTACTTGTGTTGCTGAATAAAGTGATTGTCTATATGTTGATTTTATTATACATGCTAAGAGTCCAAATTAGATCACACACGCACACATAACACACCCTATAACAAAAACAGTGCCCATCTTGCCTTCCAGAGCAAGGATCAAAAAGAGCTAGTGTGAAACACTTTATTGTGCCTGCCATCTGCTGGTGCATTAGAGAAATGCAGGCCTTAACGTTTTTGGACCTTCTGACGTGGATAAACTCACTCATGATCTCTTCACTTTACTTCCAGAGCCTCCTCGCTGGGCAAAGAAACCTCAGAGTGGTGTGTACAGCACTGGGAGCAGCGGTATCTTGTTATGTGAGGCAGAAGGAGAGCCTGAACCTACAATCAAGTGGAGAGTGAATGGCTCCCCAATTGACAGTGAGTGAAGACCCCACTTGTGATGCAGTGCCGAAGGCAATGGTGTGCGGGGAAGGTTGATAATCCGACACCCTGCTTATGTGTAAAATGCAGCTGGGAAGTGGCTGGACCATCAGGACAGATCCAGCCAGGAAATCCAAAAATTGCATCTTTCTAAGCAGTTTGATTTATGCTTAGATTTATGGAAAAGCCATAAATAATATTTGTATTCGTCGTTGAGTCATTACATTAATTATATATAAAAATATGGTTACAAAAATAAAACAAAGGGCGCCTGGGTGGCTCAGTCGGTTAAGCGTCTGCCTTCGGCTCAGGTCATGTTCCCAGGGTCCTGGGATGGAGCCCCACGCGGCTTCTTGCTCAGCGGGGGGCCTGCTTCTCCCTCTCCCTCTGCCTGCCCCTCCCCCCTGCTTGTGCGCGCTCTCTCTCTCTCTCTCTCTCACTCTGGCAAATAAATAAATAAAATCTTTAAACAAAAATAAAAAAAAATAAAACAAGCGAATGAGAAAGAGAATCCAAGGAGGAAAGCCCAGTGCTCTCCTTCTCCCTGAGAAGAAATAGGTGCAGGGACCTACTGGTTGAGAGCATGGGTTGAAAGTCAGGACTTACCATAGACCTAGGCAACAGCAACCCTGCCCTGGGTTCTGCTCTTTACAAGCACCTGCTCTGGCCATCCTTTGGTCATGCCTGCCTCCTCTATTATTTGAGAAATTCACAGGGCCAGTGAGAACTACAGAGCTTGGACACAGGCACCCTACCCCTGGCTCCCTACATGTTCTCGATGGAGCTCCAGTAGTACCCAAGACCAGAAAAATCCCTGTCCAGTCAACTCTGAGCCCTCCCACAAGGCCTGGACATGGGAGGATGGGGATGCACAAAGGCTGAAGGCCGATTCTCCCTACTCTACCATTTCCAGCATAGAACTGTGAGAACTCCAGAAATCTTCAGTTTGAACCTAGAGGTCTGGTCAGTTTGAGTGTCTTTGTGAAAGTAGGATAGAACAAATTTTGTCAACTGATTAGCTTAATTTCGAGTGTTTACATTATTATCTGTTGCTTTTATAAGTTCCTTTTGTTCTGGAGCCACTCATGTCAAGGGTAGACATCCTGGTGGTCCACAGACCTGAGGTCCCATCTAGGCTGTGCACCTTCCCAGGTGTATGATCTTGAGCTGTTTACTGAATCTCCCAAAGCTTTAGTTTTAGTTTTTTTTTTTTTAAAGATTTTATTTATTTATTTGACAGAGAGAGACACAGCGAGAGAGGGATCACAAGCAGGGGGAGTGGGAGAGGGAGAAGCAGGCTCCTGGCTGAGCAGGGAGCCCGATGCGGGGCTCGATCCCAGGACCCTGGGACCATGACCTGAGCCGAAGGCAGACGCTTAACGACTGAGCCACCCAGGTGCCCCGAAGCTTTAGTTTTTTAACAGCACAACATAGCTAATGGTAGTTGGTTGTGATTGAATGAGGTAAATGTGGTCAACCACCTAGGATAGTGGCTTTTTTGTAGAACATTTTGGTAGTTTATAAATTCTGGGGCCAGAATGCCTCTGTTTGCATCTAGGCTCTACCATTTACTAGTTGTATGATTGGGCCTATTACTGACTCTCTTAAAACCTGCTTCCTCATCAGTAAAATGGGCGTGAAAATTGCACCAACTCTTGGGTTGTTGTGTGGATTAAAGAAAACACCATGCAGAGAATGCTCGGGACAGGGACACTCCTAAACTTTTGTTTACTATTATTGTTGTCACATAGCAAGCACTCAGGAAACCTTAGCCCTCATTATTAATATCCTCAAATTTGAGATTTTTTTTTCATCTCTCTAGAGAGCAGACTAAGAAATGAATCCAAGGGAAATGAAAACAATTGTTGTTTATAAAGAATGTTAAGGATGCTAAAATAAGGAATGCAGATTCTCTGGAACATAAAATTATAAAATTTATATCTGAATGGCACTTGACTGTTTATGGATAGATGTTCACATATTGCTTTGAATCCCCAAGTGAACATTTTTAATGGAGGTACTATTATTCATATTTAACCGATTGATTCCTTCATTCAATAATATTTATTGAACGCATTCTTTGTGCCAGGCGCCGACTGGCATTATTGCTTGGGAGGTAGCCGTGAATAAAATGAACCTAGCGGGGAGAGTCAATCAGTAGACGAATAAGCACGTAAATGTGTGCTGTAGTGTGGTAAATAAAAAATAGCTGAGTAAGGGCTGGGTGTAAGAGAAGTTCAGGACCTCGAGTTGCTATTTTATTTTAAGATAATACTAGTAAGCCCCTTGTGGTAATTTACCTTTAAGTAGAAAGCCTGAAGGAGGTGAGGGAGACAGCCATGTAAATACATGGGGAGGAGCTTTCAGGGTAGAGAGGTCAGGGAGTGCAAAGACCCTGAGGTATGTTTGAAGTGTTGATGTCAAGCAAGGAGTCCGGGGTGGTTGAAGCTGAGTGAGTGGGAAGGGCTGGGACACGAGATCAGTCGGCTGGTGGTACTAGAGCCTCATCATGCGTATAAAGGTGAAAGCCCGACTGGAGACTTGGGATTTTATTGTAAATCAGATGGGCAGCACTTGGAGGTTCTTGAGCAGGAGAATGACGTGATCTGATCTATTAACAAAGGATTGTTCTGACCTCTGAATGGAGAAGCAGCTGTCTGAGTGCTCCAGCTGGAAGCAGCCTGAAAGACCCTAGAGCCGAGGGCTAGGTTGGTTGTAGTAATGGTTATGTTCTGGATGTATTCTCAAAGTAGAGCCAATAGGTTTGTTCCTGATGAGGAGGTCAGGGCTGAAATTAACTTACACGAGACAGCACAGCTGAATAATGGCTGGTGTAGAGCCAAAGCCACATCCTTGCAGCCTAAGCTCGGTGTTCCTTCCACAGCTCTCCTTGCTCCCCCGCAAATGGGCTGTAGCCGTTTATAGGTTGGGGTGCTTGATCACAGTGGGCTGACTAAATCTCTCTGAGCTTACAGTTCTAGCAATTCTATATCCTTTATATGTGGTATTTCCAAATTAAATGAAACTGGTTACTAGTATTGGTAACAGGCCTAACCTTTTTCAAATGCTTTGCCTCCAGTATCTGTGAGCTTCCTAACAAGCCCTGCAGAAGAGAATTTTTTTTTTTTTTTAATTTTTTATTCTCCAGTTTGCACATGTGGCAACTGAGGCTCAGGGAGGTCACGTTACTTAATTGAAGACACAACCCCAGTCTATTTAGAGCCAGACACGGAACCCAGAAATGATGAAGTCTCAGAGCTGAAGTTTCTCCCACTATATTTATTGCATCATCACCCACTGAGCTGACCAAAGACATCTTATGACAGAACTAGTGTGTTTTGGTGGATATTGATAGAGAACTGGCTTTCTCGAATCCCAGGAGCTCCTGTTAGCCTTGGCCCATATGCCGCAACACTGCAATTTCCATACCTCTCCCGAAAGGCAGCCTCGAGCCATGCTTAGCTCTTCGTCATCTCGAATCTGTGGCTACAGTTTCATGTTTTCTTTTTGTAATGCTGTGTTTGAGTCAGGGTTTACCATGGGCAGATGAAACAAGGAGTCTAAAGATAACGATGGGGAGAGCTCTGAAAGTTGTAGAGCTGGGTGTCGGGTGTGGGAATGCGGAATCAGATCAGAGGTTCCAGTCCTTTAAAGCCTTAAAGAACTTTAAAGAACAACTCATCCTGAGCATTCTCAAGAGATGAACTGCCCTGCAGGATTGTACCACTTTTCTACTCTTGCTATATAAATGATCACTAGCTTAGTGGCTTAAGACAGTATACATGTATTATTTTACAATTCTGTAGGTTAGAAGTCCAGTAAGCCTCCCTGGGCTGCAATGAAGGTGTCAGCCATAGTGTGTTCCCTTCTGGAGGGACTAGGAGAGAACCCCTTTCCTTGTCTTTTCCAGTTCCTGGAGAGAGCCCACATTCCTTGGCACAAGACTCTCCATCTCCAAAGTCAGCATCATTGCATATCTGACCATTTTTTCATAGCCTCATCACCCTTTCCACTGGCCACGGCCAGGGAAGCTTCTCTGATTTTAAGGAACCTTGTAATTATGTTGGGCCCACTTAGATAATCCAGGATAATCCTTCCATCTCAAGGCCCTTAACCTTAATCACCTCTGCAAGTCCCTTTTGCCATGGAAGGTATAATATGTTCTAGTGGTAGAGATTAGAACGTGGGTATCTGTTGGGGGCTATTACTCTGCCTACCACAGAGACCTTCTAGGAATAAAATGCCACCCAACATAAATGGTTTTCCATCATTTCAGGAAATATTTACTGACTGCCTCCACTCTGCACTGGGGACACTGTGTACAACACACAGACAAGATCCTGCCTATGTGGAGCTCACAGTCAAGTGTAAAATTATATTCATTTTTTTTTAAAGATTTTATTTATTTATTTGACAGAGAGAGAGACAGTGAGAGAGGGAACACAAGCAGGGGGAGCGGGAGAGGAAGAAGCAGGCTTCCCGCTAAGCAGGGAGCCCCATGCGGGGCTCGATCCCAGGACCCTGGGATCATGACCTGAGCCGAAGGCAGACACTTAATGACTGAGCCACCCAGGCGGCCCAAATTATGTTCATTTTTGACTCTCAAATGTATAAGGATACTTTTCTATTTTAATAAGCAATATTCTATGTTTTCTATAAACCAAAACTTAGTATAGTCACTATTTTGTATAATAGAGACACAATAAGTCCTAGCAGGGAGGGGCAGAGGGAGAAGGAGAGAGAATCTTAAGCAGGCTCCACGCTCAGCGCAGAGCCTGACTTGGAGTTTGCTCTCATGACCCTGAGATCATGACCCTAGCCAAAATCGAGAGTCAGACGCTCAACTGACTGAGCCACCCAGGCGCCCCTTGTAATGTCATTTAAACTAAAAATTTTAACATCTGTGCCCCTCATTCGACATTCATAGCTAATATGTTTCCTCTTTAATGAAACAACACATGTGCTACTTCCAACAGAGTTCTTTGGCCCTTAATAAATGTACCGGAAATATTAGATTTTCTCATTTCCCAAAGACATTTCCAGAATTATACCTGGATCAGGAGTAAGGTTGGATTTATTGCCAAAAAGTAGAAACTTTAGCCCCTGATCTCAAGAAGTTGTTTACTCTTACTGTGAAAATAAAATATATGAGCTGTGTATCCAACGTGGTTAAATAGGAAAGCAAGACAATTGAAATGAATGGTATAGATCAGAAAATGGCACAGGGAAGAAAAATCAAATGGAGGAACAGAAGTGTCAAATGGCGAACAAAGGAGCCAGTGTTGGTGGACTGGTGGGATCACTCCATGCTGATCATGTGATTTGTTTTGGCAGTATTGGAACCTAAATTTGTAAGAATAAGTGAGGTTTAGTTATAGTGGGATTTGAATGCTGAACAGAAAATCTGAAATTTTATTTATGGGTATGAATAGGGAGAGGCAATGAGCTAGAGATCAACAAATATTTTAGAAATCAGTAGTAATCTGAAGGAAGATTGAAATTGGAGAAGGGTCTGGAAAGAAAAGCCCATGGTTGATGCAAAGAAATTCTACAAATTGGCTTCAGTGAACTATTATTCACCCTAAACTGGTCTTAAAATATAAATACTGTGTGACACATTTAATAAATGGCGTGTAAATATTTTATGTCCTATTTTTTATCAAACTGACATTCTTTAATCTCTTGCAGAAAATCCATTTGCTGGTGATGTTGTCTCCCCCGGGGAAATCAGTTTTACCAACCTGCAACCGAATCACACTGCTGTGTACCAGTGTGAAGCCTCAAATGTCCATGGCACCATCCTTGCCAATGCCAATATCGATGTTGTAGGTAAGCAGACTGTTTACCTGCTGTTTTCTAAGGGAAGATGTTCAAGGTCGTGCACACAAGTCAATTGAATTCCAGACACATAAAACATGGGGGGGGAGAATATCATCAAAGTACCTTTCATCTAACATTTGGGTATTAGCCTTCAAACTAAAATTATACTTTCTTTTTTCTTTATTTTTTTTTAGAGAGACAGTGTGTGTGCACAGGAGTGGGGGTGAAGGGGCAAGGGAGAGAGAGAGAATCTTAAGCAGGCTCCACACTCAGCAGAGAGCCTGATGCGGGGTTCGATCACACGACCCCGAGATCATGACCTGAGCCAAAATCAATAGTCACTTAACCGACTGAGCCACCAAGGCGCCCCTAAAATTACACTTTCAAAAATGTATTGAATTTGGATATTTTTCTAATTCAGGAACATATATTGCAATATTCAGCTGTCTCCCCGTTCTGTTAATATGACTAGGATATAGAAAAATCTAATGTGTGCACATTATTTCTTACATGAACATTGACAACTGTATTTATGTCATTTTCAAACAGATGTCCGTCCACTGATACAAACTGAAGATGAAGAGACTTATGCTACGGTGGTTGGTTACAGTGCTTTCTTACACTGCGAGTTCTTTGCTTCACCTGAAGCAACAGTGTCCTGGTAAGCTGGTACAAGGTTTTCTTAAGAGAATGTCAGTGGTAGATTTCACCTTGTGTCTTCATCCATCATTTGACGGGCTGTTGTTACAATGTAGCCAATGCCTCTGAGAAATAAGGTAGCAAACTTAATTACCTACCTCTCCCGGAACTGTTGACTAGATGTGTAGGATTTTTCTCTCATGGGGAGATTAGGGAGAGCCATTTCTGCTTACAAAGGAAAGCAAAGAATTAAAGTGATTACTAAGACAATTTTACAGATAAATTTGGTTTTTCATTATGGGTATATCAAAAGTCATATATTATAGCTGACCCTTGGACATTGTGGAGGTTGGGGCTGATCCCCCATGCAATTGAAAATCTATGTATAACTTTTGTCTCCCTCAAAACTTAACTGCTAATAGCCTGCAGTTGACCAGAAGCCTCACCCATAAGATAAATAGTTGATTAACACACATTTAGGATGTTATATGTATCACATGCTTTATTTTTGTAATAATAGCTATCTTTTTCTTAAATGTTTTTCCATATTTCTAGGCTACACAGTTTGTGAGTTCTTTTAAGTTGTTGCATATTTCCAAAAATTTCTCCAATATATTTATTGAAAACAATTCATATACAAGTGAACCCGGGCAGTTCACACCCATGTTGTTCAGACTTAACTGTACTTTTTTTTGTTGTTTTGGGTCTTTGCTAAATAATTATCTAAGCATGCATTTGATTCCAAACACATGCTTAAAACTTTTCCAACATGTATTTTGAATTTAATTTCAATATATCTATTGGTGTAATAAGTCCAGACACCTTGTGTGGATCTGCCACATTTGTTACTTCACCAGAAAAGCTTGGATGAACTGTTCTTAAATAAGTCTGCCATGGCTCTGCAGGGCTGAGATTAGAGTGAGGAGGGGGAGGCAGGGTCAGGCAAGGGCAGGGTCAGATCCTGTCTTTATTTAAAAATTGGATATTTTGCTCATTGTGGATTTTTTTGTGTGTTTTTTATTTTTAAAAATAACTCCATTAAAATATTATTTATCTTGAGTCCTGAGATTTTTTGGCAATCCTTACATTTTACCCCTGAGGCAAGTGCCTCACTGGCCTTGCCCTAGTCCCGAGCTCTAGAAAGTACCATGTGAATGGCAGCCAGAGTTTACCCTTTGAATTTTTTTTTTTGTTCCAGCAGAGCCTCTTATTGTGAAATGTACTGGGTAAATCAAGCTTTGGCAGCAAATGCTCAGAAAATGGATGAATGTAGGAGAAAATGACTCTGGGTTGATAAGGGCAAATGTAATCCATGTCCACGGGACAGGAACTACTTCCTGGCCTATAATATTTCTGAATGACCAATGTTCCCCCAGGATGGCAGGAGGTTCAGAAGGTTCATTATCTCTTTCAATTACTAGCTTTCCCATTTAGTACCCTGAAGCGATCATTAACTAAAGAGTTCACCATCAATACACCAGAAAATATTTATTAAGCTGTGAGGACAGATGCAAAAATGGTCCTTATAGCTACGAGAAATGCAGCAGAAGCATAGAGCATGGGCCCGGATTTCCTCTAATCACAGTCTATCTGGGCAGATCAGATATACACCTCGGCTAGGACCCATTCTCGGAAAAACATAAACCCCAATGGAACATTTCATAAGGTCTGCAGAGCTCCTGAAGAAAGGGTAAGCTTGAATGACATCAGCAGCCAGTTTCAGGAAGCGTCTACAGTTCTGTCACGTCTAAAATTGATTAATGTTTTCTGTGTTCATAGGCAGAAGGTGGAAGAGGCGAAACCTCTTGAAGGTAGACGGTACCATGTCCATGAAAATGGCACATTGCAGATCAACAAAACCACAGAAGATGATGCTGGCTCATACTCTTGTTGGGTAGAAAATGCTAAAGGAAAAACCGCAGTCACGGCCAACTTGGATATTAGAAGTATTTTTATTTTGGTTTTACTTTGCATGAATTCTCACATGGGTTTAGTTTGTCTTCATTTTTCGAAATGAAACAATATGATTTATTGAGTGCCTGTTAAAGTTCTTAGACTGTATTTCTAAGCTCCCAGATTGTGTTTTATCGAAAAGACTGTCACAGAAATTATAGGATGTGCTGATGATGTGTTCATGGCTTTTTACAATTTTAAGAGGGACTTAGGTATTTGGGGGATGACTGGCAATAATTTAAAATGCTCTATTTTGGGATATTTCTGTGACTGTGTTTTATTTCAGTAACCAACTCAACATAAGGTCATCAGCAATCAACTCTTGGAGCTAAAAATTTCACAAACCCATAAAAGTTCAGCTTCATAAAGACTGGGGCATGACAGGACGGAAGATTTTTTTGTCCTCTTTTTGCATCATAAACCGCTTTGCATTTTTTTCTCTCTTCGGAACAAAGTCCTGGGTTTCACTAGTATTTTGGTTTTAAAATTGCTCCGAAAGTCCTTTTCAGGAAAACATAATAGAGAAATCCTACAGTGATTGTAGGGAGAATCTATATTGCTTGTGACATGTCATTATCGTAGCCTACACTGCTGCTACTTAGATGACAGGTGTATCTGTTGAATCATCGTTTTCATGGAGATCCTGATATTTCTGTCTCTCTTCACACACATACCCTCCCTTCCTTGTTTTTCTTCTGTCTTATATTCTTTTACAGTATTTGGGTTTTTTTGTACCCTAAGTCCAACATGCCACCCCCATGTACTGTATTTTTTTTTTAAATTGTATTTTATTATGTTATGTGGACTGTATTTTTAAGCACATAGATATTCTCTTCACATGTCTGCTTAACTCACATCTGCCTGGGTGTTTATGTGTCATGGACAATTTTCAAAATGCCCTTCTGAAGTCTGTGAAGATGATTCTTTTTATTCTTTATACAACCAACCTATATCAAAGTTTAGCAACTCAGTCAGATTCAAAGTCAAAGAGAGGGAAGCCCGGAATCCGAATGAACCTTCACCTTCCTATTGCCCTACACGGCGCTTGGCCCAGAGTGGACCTCAGAACTGTAATTGACAAAGGGATGGACAGGGTCATGAACTTTTCATCTGCTCTAAACACCCACTTTATATGTAGGGCATATATAGGAATCTTATGAGTGAAGGATAAAAACACAATTTTTGCATATAAAAAAAATTTCTGGAGTGGAATTGGGTAAGAGGCTATATCGCATAGTGTTTGAAAGCAAGAGCTTTGGTCTCTGCCAAACTTAGGTTCAGATTCCAGCTCAACCCCTTACCAGTTGGGAAACTTTGGTGTTACTTAATTTCATTTTAGCCTTATGTTCTCTGTAAGGTGAAAATATTAATATTTGTAGAATTATTATAATTATAAACTGTTATGTGACCATGAACTTCTTAGCAGAGGTCCTGGTCAATAGGATAAGGGCTTTATTAAATGGTATCTATTATTAGTAAGTGGATTTCTGGCTTTAAGTTTAGAAATAGGAGTAGATGCTTAATAATTCACTTACAATTAATTCAATTAAATAATCTCTTCAAGTTTCATGCTTAGGATACCGAACGATCTTTTTTTTTATCACTTTCAAATTTTTTAAATTTTTTTAAGATTTTGTTTATTTATTTGACAGAGAGAGACGTAGTGAGAGAGGGAACACAAGCAGGGGGAGAGGGAGAAGCAGACTCCCCGCTGAGCAGGGAGTCAGACGCAGGGCTCCATCCTGAGCCGAAGGCAGACGCTCAATGACTGAGCCACCCAGACGCCCCTATCACTTTCAATTTTTAATCAGTTCATGTAGTAACATGTAGATAGTGAATATTAAAACGTATTGTGGAATTGGAGGTCAGCTCATGAGATTTGGCCTCTGAGAGGGTCACCAAGTGGTACAGGGGGGTAAAGTACATCTACCCTTAATATGGCCTCTAAGAGTAAGGATCCTATATTTTGAAACAGCCATAATGAGCAGACATTTTAAAGACAGCCAAATGTGATTCTTTTTAATTCATTTGATTTGAAATTGAATTTAATTTATCTGATATGTTTGAATTCGAAGCTAAATTTTTGAGCTTCATATTATGGGTACCACTAATTTACTTTTAAAATATCACTCATTATACCTCATTCAACAAGAATTTCAGCAAATATGTGTTAAGTGCTTGCTGTATACAGGGTCCCTTCTGGGCTGTGCAGATACTTCATGTAACAAAACAGACACAGCCTCTTTTTCACCGGGCTTAAGTTCTAATTTCCCACCTTCATGTTGATAGATCACCTTGCATGGGCTTTACCATTTAACCCCCAGTTTCTGAATTATTAATAAACACATTAATAGAAAATCAATTAATTTCCTTTTTCCCCCCCTTACGGGGGTGTGATCACATGACCAGAAGCACTAGAAAGGGAAATTATATTTTTTCAACCTCTAAAGACATTTGTTGGCTCCCACTCTGCCTACTCCTTTTGCCCAAGAGGTAGTAAGGGGAACTTCTAAGATAGTAATTAGTACTTCCACCCTAATTTCTCAGAGGTCCAGGCCTGATGGAAAGAAAATAGTAATGAAACATGATGTCAGGAAATTACAGCGTGACAAACACTGCATGAAGATAAGACTGTTCCGTCGACAATTGGGGTTGATTAAATTGCAGGCACCTGATTGCAAAGTAAGCTGGGATGTAAGCGTCTCACTAGTCTCTTTGTTTGCTTAAAAATAGATGCTACAAAACTTCAAGTTGCTCCTAAGAATCCTCGCGTCCCCAGACTGCACGTGCTTGAATTACATTGTGAGAGCACGTGTGACCCACATTTGAGGCAGAGTTTGAAGTTGTCCTGGAGTAAGAATGGAGAAGCCTTTGAAATTAATGCCACAGAGGATGGCAGGTAGGGAAGGGGTTACGCTTTGTCGTCGTCCTGGCTTGGGATCAACACTGAGCACTTGAAAAAAAATAGTTGTAAACGTGTTCACATGGAAGTAAAATACGAAAAGTGATTAATACATTTCAGTCTTCTCGGCAGGATTTAAAAGGTAATGCAGTGCAGGGTTTCACTTTTCTCTCCCATGGTTAGCTGCTGCTTTTTGCTGCTGACTTTTTATAGAATGTGTGCCCTTCTGTTAGCGCATGAAATAGAGCCCACTCCAGGTGTGTGAGGCGTATCTGCTCACATGGCCCCAGAGGGGACCCTGCCTGTCACCCATTTCTATCCCAAACTCTGATGAGTCTATCTCATGCATGGGCAGAACCTGAGTCATACCTCCAGTCCTTCCAGTTAGAAAGTATGGACAAATACACTGTTAAGCCTCCTAATCTCCGTATGGAGAATACAGAAAAAAACATAGAAGAGAGAATGTGGAAGAAGTGTGAAAAGATGCTGACTTACATTAGACAGTATTAAGTATATCAGAGAAAGAGAAAAGAATATTTACTGAATGCCTATGCTATCTTTTGAAAGCATACAGAGGTTAGCTCTCCTGTGTTTTGGATTGTGACTAAGTAGGGATTAGAAATAGACCATCCTTAGCCAAATCTCACCTGCAGTTTTATGTTGTTATTCGTCATTCTGAAAAAATAAATCTGAAGGTAGAACATGCATTCCTTTGGTGACACTGTGGCAGGGTGGTAAGTAAGAGCATGGACTTGAGTCCAGTGGCCTGGATTTAAATCTCACTTTGGTCACTTCTTATGTCTATGACTTAAGACCAGCTGCATAACTTCTCTACGCCTTAATTTTACACTCTAAGATACCTTCATGGGGTTATTGATGAGTTAACATACTTAGCACTTAGAAAACACAAAGTACTCAGTCCAGTTTAGCTCTCATGATTTGTACTGATGTCTGCAGACATTTAATGGCTTCTCTCATTTCTCGTACCTGCTCGGCCCCTAGTGTGTATGTGTGCAAACATGTGCTTGCACCACCTCCGTGCAGGGGCTTTGGTCTCGGCTGGGTACTTAATTGATTCCATCTCATCCCTCCTGTATACATAAGAGTTTGTGGAAAGGAGTGGATGCATTAACAACTAGTTGTCACTGAGACAAGAGGAGATTAATTATGGACCTAAAAGACTACACATTGCAACGGAGATCTTCACCCTTAGGTTAGGTCTTGAGTCGATCTATCAACTGCTGGGATCTGTCCATGTTCTCCCTCTTTTGTCACTACTGCCTAGCTGCCTGGGGTCTTGCGTATGACCTCTGGGCTATAGCTAGAAAGGGAATCAGAGACTGGTGCCTAGCTGGTGATGGGACCTGCATATTTAGGCCCTGATCCCAGAAACTCCAAACATCCTCTGTGTGGCCCTGTTGAATAGTTTCTGTAGGCTCCTGGGGCTGACACTCAAATGAACCTCTGACCATCTCAGTGAACTAAGCAAGTGACACAGATGTTCTGCGAGTTTTCCCTAGGGTAGGGGTGAAGAACAGTAATCTTAACTAGAATCTCTTAGAAGAGATCTCTGGATTGGGGAAGGCTGGGAGTAACACTTGCTGCTGGGGTTGACTGGGGCCCAGAGCGGGCATGGAATTCTAGCAGGGAGCTGAGATCACCGGTATCTGCTAAATTTCTAGGGAACCATTAGTAAGCTCCTGTCTTTCACATTCTGCTGGGACAACTTCTTATTGGTAGGTAGGCAGGGGGCTAGAGGCTTTTACCTAGGAAGAGGTTAAGTGAGTTTTACATCAGAAATGTCAATCATATAAGTCCCTTTCCGCAAGGACATTATTTATTTCAACTATATAGCAAACTGTTGTAAATATATTTCAATTTAGTGGAACTTAATTTTCCTAAAAGTGCTTAAATAGTTAAGTTGACAGTACATAGGTATAGGGTAAAAGGTATAATTTATAGTAAAGAAATTTTCATGTCCTAAACTGGATTGCAAATTGGCAAAATAGAAAAAATGATAAAAAGCTAGTGGCCAATGATTTGCAAAAAAGCGGTACTAGTCTGCCCTCTACTGTTCAAATAAATCACAGTGCAATTGTTACCGGATTTATCAGATGGTCATTCTACATGTGAAATAGAGGGGTGGAGAAAAAGGACTCTTGTCAAAAACACAGATTACCAGACTCCAGGTCAGTCTGGCTCTGTAGATGTGGGGCGTGATTCAGGAATGTGCCTTTGTCAGAAGCACCCCAGTTGATCCTATGTAGGTGATTCCCTTAACAAACCTTAAGAATTATACAAATGTATCTTAACTATTCTAACATAGTACAGTCATTAGAAACACCAGGCAACACAGTTCTATCACTGACCCATGCATCACAGATGACTGGACTTGGTAATTAAAACAAAACAAAACCAACTGATAGCTTTCATGGCTGTGTAGACAGTTGTTCAAGTGACATTTCATCTCCAGTTTCAACTGTAGCACCAATAAAATTTGCATCACGTGAAGCTGTGTTTTGTTTTGTTTTTTTGACTCTTGAATTTTTTTTTCCTATGGGGAATATATATTTTTGCATATATGTTTCTGTTGTTTTCATCCTCATTGTGTACTCAATTTTTTTACTGGTAGGATAATTATCGATGGAGCTAATTTGACAATATCTAATGTCACCTTAGAGGATCAAGGTATTTACTCCTGTTCAGCTCAAACTGCTCTGGATAGCGTTACTGATGTAACTCAAGTAACTGTCCTCGGTAAGTGCACTAACGAGAAATCACTGTTCATTTCTTCCCCATCACTGATTAAATTCCATTGTTCTTAGTTGTTAAATCAACAGTTATTTGAGCTCCTGCACATATACTGTTCGTTCGAATTTTTCATTTAAATAGTCATTCCACTTTCAAATGCTTTCTCCTCTTCTGGCTTTAAAGAAATTAATTAATGCTTAATTTCTTTTCACTGCATGGGTAATGTTGCCAATAGCCGTGGGAGGTAGGTGATGTTATCAGCAGAAAGAAAACTGAAGCATGCTTGAGTTGTCAGGGCGCTTGAGCTGCCCTTTCCTAGCATGCAGAGAAATAGAGCTGAGGAATGGAGATGGGTTAGGCTGGGGGGATCAGGCTGGGCCTCCCGTGGTGGTGGTGGCTCAGTGGTCACGCTCTAGACCAGAGACTCGGACCGAGTTCTCAGTGTTCCTGGAAGGGAGCGGAGGAACTTCAAGAGTTCTGCAAAGGAATGCTGTTGATTTTTTTTTTTATGATAATGCTAATTAGGAAATGCTTTGCATAATTCACTAGTGTAATCAACACAATTAGCCCTGCAATCACCCAAACCTCTTAGACCAGCCTAGAGCATCTCTTAGACCATTAGCTCTGAAAGCATCTCCTAGACCATCTCTCCTTCAGGTCCCTTGCCAGATTCACTCTCCACAACCTCTCTGATACGGAAACCTGAGCGATGCGGACAACACCAACAAACCACTCACCCTCAAACTTCCATTTGGTTCCGCCAGTGAGGAGCCCTGGAAATAGAGGAGGGTGGGTGGGTGGGTGTGTTTATTCTCCAGATTCCCTCCCTGCAGGCTGTGTCCAAAGTCATTGATTTCTCCCAGGGAGAATCTCTTCACAAAATACTGATAAGATTCTGTTAACTGCTCCCTCCACCCCCACCCCAGGTATTCTGCCAATGATCTTTTGAAAGAGTTAAAAAAACAACAACAACTCTTGGTACTATCCAAATTGTGTGAACTATTTAATTTCTGCTGGGACCCCGGTTGATAGAGACATTTTTTTTTATAGTTTTCTCTTATAATTTTGTTTCCGCGGGCACCATTTAGTCTTTCTTTAGTTTTCTGATATTCTTTGAAAGTGTTTGATTTTGCCTAAACTCCTTTATTAGATGTGTAGATTAATCATTATTATTAACAGGTATTTGTATCTTTAGCTCTCTGGTTGCTGGGATCCACAGGTAGGTTGCTAACGGAAGTACAGGCTGAGAGGAAATAATTCAGTTTCTTTGGAGGTTGGATGTGAAAAATGAGTAAAGAGGATGGAGCTCTTCAAGTGAAGCAAATGGTCATCAGACTGGGTTCTATACACACACACACACGGAGTGCCCAGGTAGTAGAATGGGCTTGGCTGGATAGAATTGTACCTTTAGGTGAGATGTTTGGCCATAGGAATTCAGCTACTTAGGGGACTACAAACAGAAAGTTTCCACCCTGTAGGAATTATTTCACTAGTAAGTCATCAGATAAAATAGTGGAGCTTCAGGTAACACTGGAGTTTATTCCAGGCCACCACAAGTGTAGGGGTAGGTCTCAGGATCCATAGACTTTGTCCCTCAATATTTTGAGCTGTGGAGCCAGCAAAGGGATTGGGCTCCCTACTGCTTGGTTCATGCTGTCAAATTGCCTTGTAAAATTTAATATTTCAGTCTTGTGATTAGGCTACCATCTTCCAGAACCATTAAATTTTGATAATTTTAAATAAATAGTTGCTATGATTATTTACATTATTAACTACAGAAGTTTTTTTTTACCAATTTTTTAAGAATAAAAGTAAATTAATTTAAAAAATATTCTATGACACATTTCATTTTCTCAACCACTTCTTGGAGTTTGCCTTCTAATTTTTTAGACCAATCCCTGGTCTTAGGAAGCGCATCTCACTAATGGACAGTAACAACTAGATCCCTGTGTAGTTTCTATAAAAACCCCTTTACCTGAGAAAACAATTTTTGCAAACATATGCTTGACCCATTTCAATTAGAAGTAACTGTCCTTTAAGAGTATCAGTCTTTTAAGTATCAATGCAGCCCATCAGCTTAGTTCCATATTCTGGGAAAAAGCACATTTCATTTTTTTTTTTTT